CTTAGCTAACTTATAGCCAAAACTATATCTATAGCTAACAAAATACTAGGGATGGCATCAGCTTATAATAAGCCGGCTCAGTCATGGCTTTTGAGCTGAGCCATCAAGCCGGCTTGAGCCAGCTCGGAGCTAATATGACAAATTCAAATTTGTCCTGTGATAAATTCGATTTTATCACATTGATTCGAATTTGTCATATGATAAATTCGATTTTATCATGGACAAATTCGAATTTGTCACATGTCACATGAGCCGGCTCAAGCTGATGCCATCCCTACAAAATACATACTTATATAATTTTAAAAAAACAATTTAACTAAATTAAAAAATAATTTGTCTGAAATAAGAAAACTAATCTAAAACTAAAAAAAAATAATTTAGTCTAAAAAAAAATATAACATAAATATAATATCTAAACAAATATCATTTAAAAATTTTTTTTTAACTTTATATCTAGAGTATAACAAATAAGTTTTTGTTTTTCTTTTTATTATATGTATATATTACTTTGGTTATATCATCATTTTTGAAATATTAGTAAAAAAATTTAAAATATTAGTATAGTAAATTATATTAAAATTTTATATTAAATTTTTAAAAAAATATCAGTATAAAAAATTTTTACTATAATGTCATTATATCCAGATATTGGTATAACTAAAGTGATATATATTGCTTTACTAATTTATTTTTTTTATTTATTATTTTGAAGCCTTTTAGATTTTTTCAAAATCAGATTATCTTTTATATTTGTTTCAAAAGCAATGATATTTTTTGATATCACCTATATAATCATTAGATTATCGCTTATTTGATTATTTGATAATCTACTAACTATCTACTAACTATCTACTAATTTTAAATTTTTTTCTTTTTCTTTTTCTACTAGCTTTGGTTCTATATTTTTAGTTTATATTTTGTCTTTAGTTTTTTTGGCTTTTTATGTTGATTTTATATTATTTGCAAAGTTTTTTTGGTCTTGGCTTCACAAAGATATTTTCATAGCAAATGAACTTGTTTAGGATTTCTGATCAATCTTAAATATTGGCTATAATTTTGTCTAATTCTTTCCTTATAGAGTATTTTGAGAAATTTTGGATAAGAGATCTTATTTTTGTTTTTATATTAATTTTCATCTCTATTTCTAAATTTAATTTTTCAATTTTACTCTTTTAACCTTTTGTACTTCCAGAGTTTTGATTACCACTTTTTTTGAACTTTTTGAAACTCAAAATTTTCTAATTGTAGAAAAAAATTTTAGTACAATATTGTATTGGTTATTTTGAGATTTCTGTTTTTGGGCTATTAGTAAAAGCTCTAAAAATTTCTTTAGTCCTTTTTCCTTTTTCTTAAATTCAGCACAGGTAGATAGTTCTTTATCTTTTTATCTTTATCTTTGTTACTTCTACCAATTTTTATTTTTCTTTAAAGTCTAACCTTTCCTTCTATGCTGTTCTCTCCTTCCTATTTTGATTTTATTCTTAGATCTTTGTTACTAGCTTCTTTTCTTGAAATTTAGAGTTCAAGATTTTTGATACCAATAGGTAAAAGACTTCATATTGCAATATTGTGTTGAATCTTGCAAGCTTGTTTGGAGTTCTTTCTTGCTGTTAGAGATTTCTTGAACTCTGTATCCTTGACAGGTCAGTTAAGTAAACTTCTTTGTTGAGTTATATTGCTTTTTTTTTTTTGGCTTGTTTTTCACTACTAACTTCTTAAGCATTTTAGATATCTAGAGCTACATTTTATCAGAACTTTCAGAATGGCTTATTTTAGAACAATTTTTTCTGAAATTGAAAGCCTAATAGAGGACATAGCAGAACCAATTCTTCTTGAATATTGGCAATGAAGAATAAGTATAAAGATTCTTTTTTTTCTATGCTTTTTTGTTTATTTATTTTATCTAGAGCAATATTACCAAGCAGCAATAAGCAAAATTGAATTCATGATTGGGTTAAACAATAAAATACAAGAGAGGTCTTTCTGTCTATACTGTTACTAAACAAGAAGTTTATATAGAACCAAATGTATACATAGGGCTTTCAAGACATAAGAGAACTAATTACATTGAAATACATAGTTTGTTATAAATATGGACTTTATTTTATTAGAGTTCTAGTTTGACTTTTTATCTTATTTAAAAATAATTTCATAAGGAACAATAATAGATGAATTGAGATTAAGTTAGACAATTAAATATAAGAGAAGTATGTTAGACAAATACAGAGTATGAGATTTCTGAGAATTAACTATATAAGAAGCATTAGGAATGGGGAAGTTTTTTTAAAAACCAAGTTTTATCTGGTTTAAGGGGTTGGTTATAATTAAGAATTTTTTAATTTTTTTTATTTAAAAGATTAGATTTGTTAAGTTTATTGTATTATTTCAAATTAATACTATGCTTATTTAGCTTGATATAAATTTTTAAAAAGTGTCCACAATAATATGGCACCCTTGTACAATCAAATCAACGTGATCACACCTTTTTGTAAATTACGTATATTATATCAATTTTATTGAATTTATTATGCCGAAATAATAACTTAACCGGATCGACCGAAAATTATTCGGCTAATTTTTATCAGGTGTCCCAGGAATTATGAAAACAGCTGTAATTGTTAGATTTGTATTTAATTATAAGACCCGGATTTAACAAGTATTGTCACTATATATTTGAAACAGATTCCCTATGAAAAAGGTTTTACGAAAATTTAAATGAATTATACTGAATATTTAGTATAATTCCGTATTATATACGGAATTCGCCGCAAATTCCGTATTTTATATTCGGAATATGGCCTGAGAATCTATAAAGAAATGCATCAATTCTTTATGCATATTCCGTATATAAAATACGGAATTTACGGCGAATTCCGACAAAATACGGAATTTACGGCGAATTCCGTATATAATACGGAATTATACTAAATACAGTATTCCATATAATTCATTTAAATTTCCGTAAAGCTTTTTTCATAGGGATTCGGAGGTAATGTGCCTACATATTTAAATCCGGATCTAATGATTAAATCCGGATATAAATGGTTAAATCTGGATCCGAGTATATAAAACATATTGCTAGTATTGATATTAAATTAAAATTTTGCAAAAGTAGTTTAATAAGTAAAGTTACAGGTTACTGTCAATTTGAAAAGTTTCGATTTTTTCATAATTTTTATGTTACACCGGATTGAAATATCTTGCCAATCAGATAACATTTTCATACATCCAATCAGAATGGACTATTACCTCACTGAAACAGTCGATGTACCATATTAGATGAAATATTCACAAGGCCACCGACCTTATGTAAGAGTGAAATAATGAGAAGTTGCCAGATAGATGTACTGATTTCATGATTAGAGATGCAATAGACTTGTTAAGACCTAACATAACTAGTTAAAGCATATGTTTTAAACTAGTTACGCATAAGCCGTAATATTTTCTACCTCATCTCTATTCCGTAATTTAACCGTATCGAATTATCGAATCCAGAATATACTCGGATAATAAGCGAATGTATCATGCTATCAAAATGGGGTGTAACATATAAAGCGAAAAGTATTTTAAAAAGTTTTAATTTTATTTAGATATATAGAGAGATATCAGGAAAAGACTAATTATATGTGTATATACATGGGCATTGATTTGCAAATCCGTGTAGCATACCAATCAAATTTTTTTACAACCGAAAAATTAAACTCTTGTTTATAGTTAGGGTGAGGGTTTATAGTTAGGGTGAGGTTTGGGATTGAGGCGAGGATTTGTTTATATTAAAATTTTGCAAGAAATTTTTTTTTGCTAGAAGTCAAAGTGTGGTTTCATAAACGAAATTTTAAGAAACAATAATACCCCCGTGTATATACACTAGTGTACAAATAGTAATTGCCGATATATTAAAGTGCGTAGTATGCATAATGATAGGACTCGGGTCCAGATTTAATAATGAAATCCGGGTATAACCATTAATAGTGATATCCGCTGTGTTGATTACATAAATACATATCTGATTATCTGTAGTTAAACTCTAATGAATTACACAATCTTTGGATCGACAAATTTCCTTAATTAGTAAATTTGAAGCCGTAAAGAAGATAGGTATAAAAAAAAATATCGGGACAAATATGTATAGAATATGAGAATAATATTTATTATATAATTAAACAGTAACATAAAAAAATTTTCAAATATATTTTACACGGAGACATCTTTTCAGATATTATGTGCAACATATACATTCAATTGTATCATATACAGCATTTTTTTCTTGCCTAGTTTTTATGCAGAATTTCAAATACTTTATATGTGCATAAACAAAGAAGAGATAAGATGCAGTATAAAGTGGAAAAGAATTACATACAGTCATGATTACTAATAATAACTAACGGAGCCTACTGCCGCGGAAAATTCTATAGAAGGATGCACCAAAATGGCTATAGCTATTGCTATTGTAATAAATTGTAAAATTAATTCTAATACATACAATATCAGTTTTAACAATCCTATCAATACATGACACATTTAAGAATATAACTAGTAAAGCCAATACGTATTTCTGTATTTATGATTACGCCAAGTATCAATATGTTATAATGTGCTTATAATAATTACAAAAATGTTAAACAAATATGCTACATTGTAGAAATGCGTAAAATTGTAATTGCAATAATTTCATCATTGTTGGTTAGCTGATAATGAATTAATAAATTTGTGAAGTTAATTTCACCTGCATCTCTAATTAGTGGGCAAAAAATAAATAATAATAATAATAAAGTAAAAATATAGATAAAAAAAAGTAAAAAGTAAAAGAAAAAAGGAATATGAACAAGGAAAAAGAAGTCTATACAAAAAAAAGATCATCTAAATGAATATATATAAAAAGGAAACGATATCTACTTCACGTGATCATATAGGAGAAACAAAATCTTGTTGCAAATCGTTATCATCAATTATGAAAGGAAAATGATTATATACATAACAATCGATATTATTTGGGGTATTTAAATAGCTTGAAGAATTCCAAGGAATTGATAATGGCAAAGTTTGTATGCCTTCTGAATTCTCCAAAAAAGGTTCAAATATACACAACGCATTCAATTCTAATTCATTCAATCCAAAATGTGACTCTAATGAAATTGATTCTGATGAGGGGAATGATTCTAAAGAAAATTCTCCTAAAGAAGAATTCATCTGGAGCGCAGTTAAATCTAAAGAATTTGTGGGACTAGAACCAGAGCTAACTGAAGAAATCTCAGACTCAGATAGTAAAAAATTCGATAAAATTGAGTCTTTATCTGAAGGAAGATTACTGACACCAAATATCTCAGACTCAGATAGTAAAGAATTCGATAAAATTGAGTCTTTATCCGAAAGAAGATCACAGGCACCAAAAATCTCAGGCTCAGATAGTAAATAATTCGATGAAAATGAATCTTTATCTGAAGGAAAATTACTGGTGCTAAAAATCTCAGACTCAGGCGACTCAGTAGATAGCAGAGAATTCGATGAACATAAATCTTTATCTGAAAGATTATTACTGGTACCAAGAATGTTAGTCGTACTAAAAGCAGAAAAACTTTTTTGCATAGGATCCTCGGTTTTGGGCGTGTAAGATCTGAAGGAATTGTTCCGTTTTTTTCTGGGTTCAAATTTGTAATTTGGGTATTTTTCATTGTGCACACATTGACTTTGAATCGATAAGCGCTATTAAGTTGCATCATGAAATAAATTATCTGGATCAAATAATAGGACTACGAAAGTATAAATTATATATATACTTAAAGAAATTATTACCTCATAAGTTTTTTTCGCATGTTGGGGTAATTCGGACCAGATTTTTTTTGAATGACGGCAAATCTCCGGCATAGTGTATCGATACCCCAACTTCCTCAATTCCAACATGTAACAGTTCTTCATGAGAAAGAACCCATTTGGAGGACGCCTTATATGTGTGTCTGAGTCACTTTGTCGTGTCTTAGTTGAGATAAGTTCAGTGATATGGTATTTTGGATAATAAATGTTGTTCAAATCTAATTCTGCGGGGATTTCACGAAATGGACGAGCAGCCCGAGTGGACTTGTTATTGACTTTGGTATAAACATCTTGAAAAGTTTGGTTCATCTTGTCTTTGTAAATACACTATTCCGCTTGAATGTTTCTCTAAAGTTCTAAAAGGTCAAGAGGTTGATAAAGAATATAAACTAAATATAAGTGTGCTAACTTTCTGACGGAATGTGCTTAACAGGCTGTTTATATAAAAAAATTTTTTTTTTACCTTTTAATTTATAATAATTGTATAACGATTGATATGCACATGGGCATCAGAGGTTTAGTCACACGTCCATAAAGTTACTTCACATAAATAATTAAGGGAATGGGATTTTTGTAAAATGTTTTTTACAGAAGCCAAATAACTTGAAAGAGCAATTCTGAGCTAAAAATAGAAGTAATTCAAATCGCTCCATCTAGTGGATCACATATAAATTCCGGCGTAAATTGTCTTTTCTTCCTAAATGTCCAAAAATAGACCTTTAATTGTTAAATCCAAAAAGTCTTTACACGAAACACGAGAATTTTGATGGTTTTTAACGATATGACGGTCACGTGGTGTATAATTAAGCGTGTGACACGAATTATTAAACACGGAAAATTACCATGTGACAAATTCTAGCTTACCAAATTGTCCAATGTTTTGAAAATCCCAATCCCATTATGTTTATACCGCATTGAGATTAGACAGCGGAGTTATTACTCCCATTATTACTTAGCCTAGAAAGTAAGGATTTTAAATAGAACGTTACTTGGAAATCCAAGGTGGAAACTATTCATGACATGTTTCCAACTTTGTAAATATCGCACCTAAACAAAGAACGATTAAGGTTATTCGATAAATGCATTTCGAGAATAAACCTCGGTTCTTCACGTGATTTTTGTTTATTACTTAAATACTTAATTATTACCTAATTACTTACTCAGTGACCAGAAAGAATATTCTCAAGAATCTTTTATTTATAGATTGTATATCTTTGAAACCATATCTTTATTTGTCAACTTTAACGAAGATGACTCTTTAGATGTATTTAATTTCGAGAATCTGATCACCCTGGCGCGCGTACAATAGTAAATATGCCTTTCAAATTTTACAATATAAATCGCCAAATGGTGCCCATTGTGTTTATTTTCTCATTGTTGAAGTTGTTTTTTTTTTATAAATGTTCTATGAAGAAATGAAAATTTCTTTTCGGAAATTCATTTACTTTTTATTTAAATGTAATCTAGAATAATGTTTTGTAATTACACAAGAGATTTGCGCGTTATTTCTTCGAAAATCAGCAAAAAAAGGAATCCATTTCTTTGTTGGACTAAAAATATTTTGTAGCATCTAAATACGAAATTGGATAAACCTCAAGAGACGATTCATGTATGATATACAAATATTTTCTTAAGAAATCCAGTTTCGAAATCCTCCATAGAAAAAACTTCTAAGAGTAAACTTTAAAGTTCTATCAATTATGACACTGATATTATTGGTTTCTTGAAAGATAATCTTCATAGAAAATTCTATAAAGCAAGCAACCAAAAGTTTGTTTTGAGAACGTATTTACAATAAATGATCAACAATATTCCAATTAAGAATATAATTATTATAAATTTGCTCATTTAAAGAAAAGTGCTATCAGAAAATTTTCGCTGCAACATCAACATCAAATAATCTATTCAGCATTTCATTATTTCACAAATGTAAGTCAATATAATATTAAAGACTAAAATTCTTTGTTATAGTTAATTTTAATTCTGTATTTAAAATAATTGTGATCACTTATATGTACACTTAATATGTGGAAGGGGAATTATCGTTTATGCTTATCCTGCGTCATAATTACATAGGCTAGTAGCGCCTAATAAGCATAATAACATCTATAATTGGTTGATTTTTTTGTGGCACGTAACATAAAATATTGTGTAAACTAAACGGGTAATTAAAAATACCGGTCATCATCTTGTACTGCCTGTTTTGATAATACAATGCTTTCGTTTTTAATTTGCTAATATGCTAAAGGCGTTAAAAGAAATTTCCCATAGAGTTATCCGCACCAATTCATTTGTTTTTGCATGTTTTAAATTTTTTTTTGCAAATGTGCAGGCTGTGCATGAATTAGAAGGGAAAGAAGGGATCAAATTAAGTAAATAAAACGAATAACCGATTCAAAATTTTGCTGCGCATAATGGCGTGGAGCATCCCTATATAGATACTTTAAATCTCAAAATGAAAAAAAGTCTTGAAAACTATTGTTATTACAGTATAAAAAAAGTTTATTAATAATTGTGAAGGGCCCACGCGAAGCTGGGCCAACCCGAAGTTTTTTCGGAGCGAAGCGGAGAACCAATGGAGAACTACGGATAGAATTTGTATATTTTTGTCTGCTACTATTTTTATATTAAGTGACACTTTAGCCAATACGTCTATTCCTATTTTTAACTCCGGACTTCTAATACCATTTTTTGTTTTAGTGCATTGTAGGTTGATACAGAAGATCTGTAATTCGGAATAAACTTTAATGATTAAGGCATAATATCGTTATATAGTGTTAAATACATTATTTTCTAAGTATATTCAGCATTACTTGAATGACACACTTTTATATAGTAAATTAGATGTTAACGTTAAAGTAAATTGCACTCATTCGCTTCAAGTATGGTATTTTTAATTCTTTATTTTCAATCAGCCCTAATAGTATTAGTTCGTTTATATCAAGTAGCATTAAGAATTCGGCATTATAATTTTTTTTTTAATTATTCCGTAAAGTGTACTTAATGCTGTAAGCAAAGGTTTATTATATTAATTAGATTTAGACCCGTCATTAATGATGGATAGGATTTAAACATTTTTTAAATCAATTTTGCAATGTATTGATTTTTTATTAATAATTATTAATAATTAAAAACGCATAATACATAATATATGAATCAAGATCATTAGAATGTTCGTTTCATTGTTTTTTTTTTTTTTTGTTTACGATCAAAATAACTGATCTGTATTGAGTTAAAGAGATGAAGATTGAAGCAGACATTTTACATATTTAATAACCCAATATGTATGCTTAGATCGCGGAATTGTAACATTTTTACTATAGCATTTTTCATATCCATTGACGGATTTTTTGCAATAATAATTACTATTATTATTATACTTATACAATGTTCCGTAAGTATTCTGAATTCATGCACACTTAATAGTTTCAATTCATGTGCAAATATGAATTATTTAATATGCTGCCTTTGAACCTAAAAGCATTAATATTAATTTTTATTCAGCAAAGAAAAGCAGGAATATGCACTGATATAACGTAATACAATTTTTATGAGATAGGAATAATTTTGCCGGTATTGACTTTTCAATAGATCATTGCTTCTTCTTTTTGTTTGGTACTAAACTTTCAAGTGTGTGAGCTAACGGATCTCTGCAATTGTTTAGTTGAAATATTGTAACTATGTTATTGTGAAGAATTGAAGGCTATAGTATTTACTATCCAGCAGCTTACTATAATTTGTCTGCCAAATAAATTTATTATTCAGCGGAAACTATCGTAAGTTACCGATAATTAATAGTTATCCGGTAGCTTACGACGACCGAACCAACAGGATAACTTGAATTATTTTGATGATGATTATATCGTCACCAAAAGAACTCAAGTCATTCTGTTGGTTCGGTCATCGTAAGCAGACATGCCGAATAATTGATTCTGGGGCAATTAAGTGCAATTTTTTGAACCCAATTAATTGATTGTTGGCGCAATTTTTGTGCAATTAGCTTTACATATCATATATGTGATATTTAATTTTCGCCATTTAAAAAATCGGATCACATAAGATACTGTATGCAGCGCTCTACGTGGTATAATGAAAGAAAATTGAATTTATTTGCAATTATTTATTATTTGACAGAGATATTTGTTAAAATATTTATTATATGATTAATTTTCGGTAGGTCTGGTTGTAAACTATCGGATAATACCGTTGTTGAATGCTACGCAACCAATAACTTGTTTATCTGGCAGTGAATTTAATATGCGTCATTTATGGGCCCCAAAGAGCCCAGAAGCTGACACATTAAAATTTTACAGATAATGAATTATTTTACAAATAATTACATATTGGCTGCTTCGCATTCAATAACTATTAGCCACCATATGTATTTCAATCTGATGCATAAACTAAACTCAATTTAAACTTTAAATGACGATTTCTCGACCACCTACTATTAGTTTTGATGAATTTTTTTTGTTATATTAATTCTCTGAGTTCACAGAATTAATATAAAAAAAAATTGATCAAATTTGGATAGCAAATTATCGAAAAATATTCATGAAAAGTTAAAAAAATTTGACATCTTTTTTTTTATAGCCGTGAACGAAGATTACCCGGCACTTACCTGTTCAAATTCGATCAAAATTTTCTTATTTTAACCCTATAAGCTTGTGGAATTAAAATAACAAAATTTTGATCGAAATTGACTGGTAAGTGTTGAGTAATCTTCGTTCAAAAGTTTAGATGTATAAAAAAAGAAGCTGCGGTCAATTTTTTTAATATTTCTCGACAACCTGGTATTCAAATTCGATCTATTTTATTTTATTTTATGAACATACAGATTCAAAATAAAAAAAGTTCGTCAATTTGAATAATTGGATGCCGAGAAATCTTTGTTTAAAGTTCAAAGAAGGAGAAATTTACTCGATTTTTTATCCTGATATTTAAGTTTGATTTTTTTTTAAACATTTAGCGATGATTTCTAGATAGTCATTGAACCAAATTCAATGAACCTTTTTTTTAATTCTACAAAGTTATAGAATTAAAATAAAAATTTTTTTGCTGAATTTGGTCAAGTAGCTATTGAGAAATCATCGCTGGAAGTTTTAAAAAACTTTCGAATTTATTAATAGGATCTGCGCCACAGGATCTACATAATCGCGCAGCGCACTTTTTTTATCTCAACCAAAATATTGATCGAATTTGATCAGGTAAGTGCCGAGTAATCTTCGTTCAAAGTCTAGGCGCCTATAAAAAAAAAGTTGCAGCCAAATTTTTCTTAACTTTTAATGAATATTTTTCGAAAATTTGCT